CAGGTGAGAGGGGTGTTCTTTCTCACAATTCCATGTACCTTCTGGCAGTTAAAATAATAACAGTTGGGGGCAGCAGGTAGCATGGTAGAAAAGGCGCTGGACTCCCACATGGCAGACCATGGTTCAAGCCCTGGACCTAGCTGCTTTCTCACTTTCTCTCTGGTCAAATTTAAAAATAATAATAAATTCTTTTTTAAAAATAAATAGTAATAGTAAAATCAATGATTGGTATACTATTAGCTCTGGAAAAAAAAAGTTATACATTAAATTCAATGCTCCATGACTCAGTGAATATGATTTTGATTAATAAGGATGTATGTTCAGAGAATGAGGGTTGGAGAATACAGTAAAGGCTAAGTCCTCTTTTCCATCATTAAAAACATAAAAATCAAGAAATACACATGGCAGAGAAAAACTATTTCCAAGAAAAATAAACACCTGACATACATTGAACAAATTATTGCACACGCACTACATGTTAGACACTGTTCTAGGTCAGGGTTTCTCGACCTCAGTGTATTTCCAACTTGTGAGGGACTTTCCTATGCATGGTAGAATATTTAGAGGATCCCTGGCTTCCATCCACTACTAGTAGGACACCCTCTATTGGGACCATCAAAAGTGTCTTTAGACATTGACAAATGTCTCCTGGAGGGCAAAATAGCTCCCCAGTTGAGAACCATTGTTTTCAGTAATAGAGATACAAGGAACAAAAACAGACAAAAGGAACTGAAAGTGGTTCCTGAGAAATAGGTATAAGGTTAATGAAGGAAATTGTTTTAGCCTTGTACGCTTCTGGGTTTTCAAGCTACATACTACTTAATAAAAAGAAAGCAAATCATCTAAAAGAATATAAGACCATTTATACAATAATTAAAATTTGGGGGCCAACCCCATGCTCTAGTGGTTAAGAGTGCTGAATTCTACATGGCTGACTGAGCAGTTCAAATCCCAGCCCCAGTGGCTTGAAATACACACCAGCACATGTGCATGCATGCCCAAATCCTGACAGGATGGAGAAATGTAAGTGAAGGAATTGCAGTATGACCACACCCCACTGGGTGTGTTTCTCCCACCCAAATCCCGCCCTGTCTCTTTCTCTCCCTGGCAAGAGCACATATTCTGACAATTTTTTAAAAACTGTACACAAGGCAGTACAGTCATGTAATTCCAGATTTGAATTCCAGTTACCCACCACTTGCCAGCTATATAACTTGGGCAAGTAACCTAAACTTTTGTGAGCCTCGTTTTCTTCAATGTTAGAAAATAAGAATACTCGGGACCAGCAGTTAGTGTAATGGCTATGTCGCTGGACTCCCACGTAGTCGACCGCGGTTTGAGTCCCAGACCCAATGACTTAAACTCACACCGGGCGCGTGTGCGTGCATGCCCAAGATCCCGAGAGGAGAATGGAGGAGAAGGGATTGTGGCGTGGCCATCCCCCCTGGGGGGTGATTTCTCGCTTTCTATCTCTCTGTCTCTGTCTGGCAAGCGCACATGCCCTATAGCAAAAAACTCTCCAAAAAAAAAATAAGAATCCTCAAGATTATTTTGAGTATCACATATTATGCAAAAACACATACAAGTATAATGCATGTTACATAGTACCTGCACCTACAGTACTCAATACGTTTTAACAGCCTGAAAAGTACACCCAGTCACCTGGCTTCTACATGCCAGATCCTTGGGAATAATCAACAGTGTCTTGGGTATATAATCCTGGGGCTCCCATAAATTGTCATTAGGATCATTGAGGCCATCTGAGGGGCAACTGGGATCTATGCCACTTCCAACATGCAAGTGACCACACATGCTGACTTTGCCCTTGAAAGTCACCATATATATTGAGAATAAAAAAGCTGATCTCATTAGTTTTATTTCTTAGGCAAGTGACAGAAGCAGAAGTCCATGTAAGTGGCAATCAATTTATATCATCACTTTATGAGAAGCATTTATTTCTTTAAAAAAGGATTTACAATTTTGTGTGGCTTTTTAAAAAATTTCTTCTCCAGCCCACCTTGAATTGTTTTTTTTTTTTTTTTGGAGAGATTTTTGCTATAGGGCGCGTGCGCTCACCAGACAGACAGAGACATAGAGACAGAAAGCGAGAAATCACCCCCCAGAGGGGATGGTCACGCTGCAATCCCTTCTCCTCCATTCTCCTCTCAGGATCTTGGGCACGCACGCACACGTGCCCGGCGTGAGTTCTAAGCCACCGGGTCCGGGACGCGAACCGCGGTCGACTATGTGGGAGTCCAGCGACATAGCCATTACTCTAACTGCTGGTTCCCGAATTCTGTTGTTTTTACATGTTAGCAGAAGCTATTTTATTTAGGTTTAACTAGATATGACATGCATTTTTTTTTGTATAAGGCACTCGACAAGTCATTTACTCACCAAAAGTGTTAAGCATAATTGCAGATTAATTTATTCAAATAAGCAGTCTAGATATACTACATTCAATACCTCAATAACAATCTGGGGTACTATACTGGTAGGTATTATTATGGCCATTTTACAGATTTATTCATTCATTCAACAAATATTTATTGAACACCTGTTACGTGTCATACACTGTTCCATGTGGGAAATCGAGCAGTGAACGAATAGGTAAAAATCCCTAATTTCATAGAGCTTACATTTTACACAAATAATTATACATTTACATGATGTTAGGTAAGAGATAAGAGAAAAATTAAGTACTGAAAGGGGAAAGGATTTCTGGAATGGAGATAAAGGTGGCAATTTTAAATAAGATTGTAAGGGATGGTATTAAGTTGATCCAAAAGTAATTACAATTTTGCATTGTTGAAATTTGCTGTTTGTTATTGGATACATTATTTATTTTCGGAGGTTTTTGCCTTAAGGCACGCGTGCTCACCAGAGAGAGACAGACACAGTGAGAAAGTGGCCACGCTGCAATCCCTTCTCCTCTTGGGATTTTGGGCACATACACACACACACATCCAGCGTGATTTTGAAGCCACCAGATCCGGGATTTAAACTGCAGTCAGCCATGTGGGAGTCCAGTGACATAACTGCTACGCCATCTGCTGGTCCCAATACTGGATATATTGTTAAGTAAATGCAGTTATGTTATACATCATCTCACTGTCTATTTCTCACTTTTTTCTGGCTAATGACTTATTACTCGCTCTTTATATTTATTTTAGACTATGGAAATGATGTTAGACAAAAAGCAAAGTCCAGGGATCTTCTAACATGTGTTCAAAATGGGTTGTAAAACAGCAGAAGCAGTTTGCAGCATCAACAAATTTTAAAAATAAATAAAATAAAATAAAATAAATGAATGGGGACCAGCAGGTGGCGTGGTGATTAAGGCGCTGGACACTCCCACATGGCCGACCAGGGTTCAAGTCCTGAATCTGGTGGCTTGCTTTCTCACTTCCTCTCTCTCTCACTCTCAACCTCTGTCTCCCATTCTCAACCTCTGTCTCCCTCTGATCAAATTATAAATAAATAAATAAATAAATAAATAAATAAATAAATAAATAAATAAATAAAATGCATTTAGTCAAGGAACTACTAACGAATGTGTAGTGGTGGTTCAGTAAGGTTTTACAAGGGAGACAAGAGCCTTGAAGATGATGCGTGTAGAGGCCAGTCATCGGAAGTTGACAATAACCAACTGAAAGCAATCATCAAAACTGATCCTTATACAGCTACATGAGAAATTACCAAAGTACTCAACAACAACCATTATTCGGCATTTGAAACAAATTGGAAAGGTGAAAAAGCTCGATAAGTGGATGCTTCATGTGCTGACCAAAAAAGAATCATTTTGAAGTGTAGTCTTCTCTTATTCTACACTACAACAAACCATATCTGGATCAGACTGCGCCATGCAAAGGAAAGTGGATTTTATGTAGCAACCAGTAATGACAAGCTCAGTGGTCAGACCGAGAAGAAGCTCCAAAGCATTTCCCAAAGCATAACTTGCATGAAAAAAAGGTCATGGTCACTGTCTGGTGTTACCTGATTCACTAGACCTTTCTGAATCCCAACAAAACCATTACATCTGAAAAGTATGCTCAGCAAATCAATGAGATACATCAAGAACTGCAACACCTGCAGCTGGCACTGGTCAACAGAAGGGCCCAGTTCTTCTCCATGGCAATGCCTGGCCACACATCACATAACCAATGCTTCGAAAGTTGAACGAATTGGGCTACAAAGTTTTGCCTCATCTGACACATTCACCTGACTTCTTGCAAGCCAACTATCACTTCTTCAAACATCTTAACAACTTTTTGCAGGAAAAACACTTCCACAAACAGCAGGATGCACAAGATGTTCCCAAGAGTTCATGGAATCCCGAAGCATAGATCTTATGCTACAGGGAAAAAAAAAAAAAAACTTATTTCTCGTTGGCAAAAATATGTTGATTGTAATGGTTCCTATTTTTGATTAATAAAGTTTGATTCCAGCTATTTAAAATTCATGATCTGATACTGCAATTGCTTTTAGACATGAAAATGAGGAAATAGGCTCAAAGAATTAAAACTTGCTCAAGGTCACAAAGTTAATAAAAACTGCAGCTGAACGGTAAGACAGGCACCTGGAACCATGGTGCATCACTTATAAAAGCCGCTGAGTCTTACAACTTTTAGCGGCCCTAGTCTAGGTGGTACAGTCCGTAGTGTAGTAGACTACAGTGCTGGAAGCCACAAGAACTGGCCAAGTCAGCCTGATACACGACTGTGTAGACTGAGCTAGAGGGCTAGGGAAAACACTGTAATGTGCAATCCTGTCGAGGGGCGCATGCTAGCGCTCTCTCTCTCTCTCTCTCTCTCTTGCATGAACACATGCTTCACTGAAAAGACAGGCAGGCTTCTTGGAGACTGGTCAAAACCAACCAAGCTACATCTTTCAGATAGTTCTGATAAATACCAGCATGTGCCCAATATCCAGAAATGTCTAAAAAAACAAACAAACAAACAAAAACACACAACTTAAATTTGTGCTTATTTTTATTTCAGGCCAAAGAATTCCAAAAAACAAGAAATACCCCTAGGAAGATATGGTGGAAATACTTCAAAAGGATTGCAATTATCACCACAGCAATTCTCCTTTCAGTCATTATCATTCTTTTAAGTCCAAATGTAATACCAACCTGATCATCCTCCTCTCCATCACCGACAGATACCAATAAATTGTTACATGTAGAGTTCAACAACTATCAGTTATGAACTAATCCTCTAGTGGTAGGATTAAGAAAAGCTTGGAATTATTTCCTTGTCTCTCGACTCTTACCTCCATGCCTCAATTTCTGTAGTCCCATTTATTCTTTTCCACTCTTCTACTTCTCCAGCCTCTCCTTTTGTTAACAGCACAAACCCTAGAATCAGCCTGCCAAGATCCTACTTTCAGTTCTGCAATATACTGTTTACTTCAGACAAGTACTTAACCTGTGCCCTGTTTTCTCACTTAGAGCTAATAATAAATTTACTGAATAGAGATCTTACATCTCCCGTGTACGTAGTAAATACTGTTTAAATGTTAACTATTACTATGAAAAATTGTATTATGACATTGCTTAAATCTGTACTTTCTCCTTACCCAGAAAACACCTTGACCTTAAAATACCCTTAGAAACAAAAGAGGCTTAAAAATATTGTCGAGAGATACACACTCTACTTCTCCTACATATTAAATTTAAAGTGAAAATTCAGACCATGTTGTATATGAGGCATATCCTGTGTAAGGATGCAAAAAAATTAGCTGTATTGGGATCAGCAGTTGGTGTAATGACTGTCACTGGACTCCCACATAGTTGACCGTAGTTCAAGTCTGGGACCTGGTGGTTTAAACTCAAGCCAGGCACGTGTGCGTGCGTACATGCCCAAGATCCTGAGAGAATGGAGAAGGGATTGCAGTGTGGCCATCTCCCTGGGGACTGATTTCTCACTTACTGTCTCTCTATCTCTGTTTCTGGCCAGCACACACACCCTATAGCAAAAATGTCTCCCCCCACCAAAAAAAATTACCTGCCTAAATGGATTATATGTCCTGTCTTATCTTACCAGCCGTTTTTGTTAGTACTCTATCCAATAACCTGAAATCACTAGGATTCCTAACTAAAGTGGGACCAACGTCTTGAAACAGGCCAGACACATGTGCACGTGTACCCAAAATCCCATGAATGGGGAAGGGAATGCGGCATGGCCATTCCCCCTGCGGAGTGATTTCTCACTTTGTCTCTGGCAAGTGCACATGCCCTATAGCAATATTCTCTCAAAAACAAGATTCCTAACTAAAGCATTCAACTGTAACAAGGTATCATGAATTGTTTCCCAAGTGGTAACCAGAGGTCGTAAGTTTTAAGTCATTTAGGGAGCCGGCAGGTGGTGTGGTGGTTAAGGGCACTGGACTTCCAAATGGCCAACTCTCTCTCACTCTCTCTCTCTCTCTCACACACACACACGTGCATGCGTGGTCTAACATGAATAAAGGACATAAAATGAAAAATGAAAGCAGAAACCATTTAGTGATTCACAAAGAACCAAGTGTTCCTGATTGCTAGAGAATTCATTTAAAACCTGGTAATGATCAAATAGCACTTAAATAACTACCAAGTGAAACAGCTGTGACGTGGTGAAGGTGCCTGGACCCTACATAACTGATTGCACAGATCAAGTCCTGTATCTGGTAGGCTGGAAAGCAGAAATCAGGTGCATGAGCATGCACGCCCCAAATCCAGAGCTGAATGAAGGGATTGCAATGTGACCATTCCCTCCCTCACCCCTCAGAGCATGCTTTCTCTTTCTTTCCCTGGTGATCGCGCATGACTCATAACAATCGTCTTTTTAAAAAATACTAAAAAACATGGGGTCAGCAGGTGGCATGGTGGTTAAGGCAATGGACTCCCCACATGACTGATCATGGTTCAGGTCCTGGATCCAGAGGCTTGAAAAGTCACACTGGATGTGTGTGCATACATGCCCAAAATTCTAAGAGAATGGAGAAGGGATAGCATGTCCAACCCCTCTGGGGGTGATTTCTCACTCTCCCTCTCTCTCTCCTGCAAGCACACACACCCTACAGCAAAAACCTAAAATAAAAAATAACCACCAAGTTTATTACTCATCCAAAACAATATTGCCTTTCCATCTGGAAAATATTTTTTAAAGAATTTTACAAGTTAGAAACCTTGAGGACCAGCAGTTGGCATAATGGCTGTCATGGACTCCCATGTAGTCGACCACGGTTTGAATCCTGGACCCAGTAGCTTAAACTCACACCAGGCGCATGTGCATGCATGCCCAAGATCCAGAGAGAATGGAGAAGGGATGGTGGCGTGGCCATCCCCCCAGGGGGTGATTTCTCACTTTCTGTCTCTTTCTGGAGAGCATACGCACCCTATAGCAAAAACCTCTTGGGACCAGCAGTTAGCGTAATGGCTATGTTGCTGGACTCCCATGTAATTGACAGCGGTTGGAGCCCTGGACCTGGTGGCTTAAACTCACACTGGGCGCATGTTTGTGTGTGCCCAAGCTCCTGAGTGGAGAATGGAGAAGGGATTACAACGTGGCCATCCCCCCTGGTGGGGGGAGAGTGATTTCTCACTTTACGTCTCTGGTGAGCGCCTACAACCAAAAAAAAAAACAAAAACAAAAAAAAAACCACC